TTATTATAATTGCAATCTCGATAATTCCTCTTACCGACTATTCCTTTTACTAACTTCGTCGCAATTGTCTCGCGCTCGAGATAAAACATACTCGATGCGGACGAGGAAAAACTAGCCCGTTTTACACGCACGCACGCACGCACACACATAAACACGCGCGCGCGCGCCCACGCATATATAAACGCAATGTATTTAATCAAATCTTTACTGCTTCTCACATTTAGATGCCTGATTGTCATGAATTTTTTTATTATGTTGAAAATGCTTGATTAGTGTGAATTTGTTTTCTTCATTTTTGCAGCAAAATAACATGAATCATTCACATATAAAATATAGACAAACAAAGATATGTAGAAGTGCGAATAGTTCTGCATCTCTTTACTTTCACGTGATAAATAACGCAACTATAATTTTAAAGACTAATAAGTCAAGAAGTTTTTAAAAAAAGAGAATTCAATTTAAATCAATCTTTTCTGTCTGTAAGTAATTAGTAAATAAACACAAGCACAAATAAATATGATAGATATTTATGAGAAAAGTAGACTTGACAATGTATTGCTCTGTTACTTACGAAACAAGTGGAATATAACAGAATATACAAAATCAATGTTACAATAATTATATTTTTTGTAACAACGAAAACAATAAAAACTATTGAAAAGAAGGATTAAGTTCTGGTCATTTTTAGGATAGGAGCAAAATTTTAATTATTGGAACTGTTTGTGGAATCTTCTAGAAACAGAAAATAATAATTATTTTTGACAAGTACTGGAAAAATCGGAAATTATTATTGATTGCTGAAATAGTAATAATGAGTGTTAAAGCTGTAACGCAGTCACCTCGCTCGACGCTCGGATTGTCCGGCTCGTCGGTGTCCGGATTCGAAAGGAGAGAAGACTCAAGCTTACGAGAACACAGATTGAAGCGAAAAGATAGTTTATTTAGAAAAAGATAGATAGATATTTAGAGAAAGATAGATAGAGTGCAGGCTCGAGAAATATCGCAGTGCCGCTGGTAGCAGGATGCGAGACGCAAAGCGGAGATGCAAAGCGGAGACGCAAAACGGAAACGCAAAGCGGTTGGCGCAAAGCGCCAGACAGGTGTGGCGTGCAGTCGTCAACGGTTTTATTTACACGCGACTACGGTTTTATTTACGCGTGGTTACAACTAGCAACTTAGGGCTACAGGCTTATGACTAGCAGGCTACAACTAGCGGACTTAAAATTAACGGGCCTTATTCCTAGCAGGCTTAGTATTACGGCGTGGTTATAGTTAATGGATTTATCTCTATCGCGCGGTATTTACAGGCACTTACGAGCTAATGTCAGGTTAGATGGCTAGGTATTGCGGGCAGGGCCGAGTGTCACGTCGAGCTCTATCTTAGCAACGGAAACCGGCGAAACCCGGTGGAATTGAGCGAAACCTCAGCCCGCAGAGTGGTGACAGGAGTCGGCGAAACCTGACAGGACTAAGCGAAGTTTTAGCCCGAGGAATGATGATAGGAGTCGGCGAAACCCGACTGGGCTGAACGAAA